GACAGATGGTTAATAAAGGAATGAGAACCTGCCCGGACAAAGGCACAGCACCTGCTTTTACCAAATGACTTTCATTTCAGAGAGAAACGAATTATGTTTTTTAAAGTTCTTTCGATATCGTAAATGCGTCAGTATCTCCTAAGAAACCGGCTTCCTAGGGGATAGCTTGACAGGGACATTTCCTTGCCAACCCGTTACTTCACGGTATTGAAAATTCTCAGTAGTTGACAAAGCAACGCTTCTACCCTGTTAAGGGCAGACTATACGCTGCGCTGGTGCGATCTACTTTGCCCTGTGGATTAGAGACGTGTCCTCTACGCAGAGAGGACGTTCGAAAGGTGTCAGTGTTTGACCATCGGTGTCTCCGAAACATTGGTCGGGCCTAGTGGGAACATCGAGTTAGTAATACTAAGGTGCACCCAGGATAAAGAAATTCTTCTTCATAGTTTACTCTGGTTAGGACATGTACTCCGCATGCCAGAAGACCGTCTGCTTCACACAGCCCTTTTTGTACAACCCTGTGCTGAGTGGAATCGACCAAGAGGTGGACAGTGTATGACCTGGCAACGAAGTATGAAAACATGAACTAATAAACTCAGTCGGTTCGACGACTGCCGCCTCCTTGGATGGGGACCGGTGGATCCAACCGGTCAATGGCTAACTAATGACACTGGCTTAATCACGCAGTCAGTGGTGCTCTTGCATCAAAACTATCGCTTATTTGGAACTAGGTTAAATCAAGTCTTAGTGTTTTTATGGTGACCATCTTAGGTGACCCTCTTCGGATACCGTAGACATCTCTAAAGAAAGCAGACGAAATTTTTTGATCAAGCTACTGTGACGGTGTTCACCAAACATTTTGGGAGCCACTTTTGTACACACGTCATATTGCATATCGATCGATATGGGAGTGGAGTACATGTGTAGCAGAATCCACCAATGGAATTTTAGGCCGCAGCGTAGGCCGACCGGGCCTATGGAGATCAAACGGCGAAGCCAGCTAACGAATAAAATGACCCGAACTTGAATAAAAAAGAAATCACCATTTTATTGCTCCTGGAAAATTAGTGGATTCTAGAATTCCTCACACGGTGTCAGACCGTGATGAGAGAGACCTAAAAGTACTGAAAAACCACTTCACCCTTCAAATAATATTTCGTCCAGTATGTGCGGCCAACTTGTGCTGAAAAGCTGAGAAGCCCTGTACAGCTATTTCATCGTTATTGAAAATTATCAGCAGTGCGCATCTCACGAAACTCCATGCTGTTCCGACCTTGCGACCTTCTGTTCATTAGTTTGAACAATAAAGCTGTAGGCCACACGCGGCTAAGCAGTGGTGTGATAAGCTAAAGCACCACTCATGTTTCCCTTACGAGGCTCAAATCACGTGGTCACGTGTTGACCGGCAGTTCGAGTGATGACTTCTCAGATGGAAGTTTCATTCGAATTTTATTCTCTCTGAGCTACCTATAGATTAATAGTAGATTGTTTCAGACTACGAGGTTTGAGTTATCTAAGACTTGCTAGTTGGACGCCATACCATTCGACAGTGAGATGGATCGATCAACGGTATAATACGGTGGCACTCATTGTCCAATCAAGCATACCACGTCATCTGATCCAGTGGTAACTCCTGTGCAAATCAACATTCGGCTGACACCTGGCATTAAACGGTCGTGAGTACTCTTGAAATCTATGCATCGCATTACGATGTTGAGAATTCGGTCATGAACTGAACGATACAAACAAAACTGTAAAACACCGTGTCCCAGAAAAATTTACCTTATATGAGAGAGATACCATATTTGAACTGTCGAGTTGAATACACCTTGATCGTAGCGTGTTTGAGGGTTATTTGACGGATCTATGTAGCCCTCTCCCCCACACTGATAGGCGACGATAGAACGGAGTGAATCGAGTCGCCCTTAGTTTTTTTTCCGATGCCTGAAACGTATCCTTTAAATCTATGTTACATGTGGTTTGTTCCTTTGTTCCTTCGTAGACTACATCACAATCGGCAAGATTTGTCCCTGCTCCTCAGTGTCCATATTCGACTCACGCTCCAAAAACCAAGTTGCTAAATTCGGGCCTAAGCAGTATGTTTGCCTGCGAGCAGACAAATTCCTCTCCGACACCACAATCGAAAACCACTCCCAACGGGACGAGTGATTCAAGCTTGCCCGAAGTGAACGCACCTCACATGCCCTTTCCAGTGACATCTGTTATAATGTCGAACAAAACGGTGACAGCCTCTACGCCGTCACCCGATGAACGCGTGCCAGCGGGACCCACAGACACACAGCAGTATGTCCATGCGACCCCTACAACTGCGACGCGCCTCACTGTACCAACAGCGAACGGAGGAACAGTGTTTGAAACGAACGGGTTAAGTGTCACCGCACTACACCACCCGGTAAGAACAGCGCGGTAATGTCTTCAGGTGGTAGTTTGCATGACAAGTTGTGCCCTTAAGAACACAAACTGTTCCGGTACTGAATGCCCAGAAACACCAGGACTTTGACGAGAGTGTGGTTCTGGCCATTCATTCAC